GTGCTGTGGCGAAGTACTGTGCAGTGTGAGAAATGAAGAAGGGGATGGAAGGATATCTTCATTTAAAAAACACACACACACACACACAGGATATAGGATATTAATATTGTAATTATCTGGGTCGACACTGTGTCCGACAGAAAGTCCGGGTCGTTGGTCCAAGTATGGACTTAAGTGTTGTTACAGAACCGAAATTGTTTGTGCTTACCCGTTTTACAGATCTGACTGTTGATTCCTCACCTCACATGCAAGGAAACAGCACTAATGAGTCCACTTGGTACTACTGACGAAAGTCACCCCATCTCGTCCGCGGCGAGATTTCGTTGCTGTTCCCACGGACTGTCCTATGTTCTAGATGTATCATGAGACACATGTCTCCTTCGCCGTCTTTACAGAGAGTACCGAATAGAGGCTAGGGCTCGTTCAAAGAGGTAGACCCACTGTCTCCCAGACGACACTGCTCAGCTTTCTTTTAGCAGCTTTTCTGTGAACAACTGTTGTTTCTGGAATGTGTTGTTGTGATTGTGTGCAAGGAAGAAGTAATACAAGGGAAGCGCAGAAGGCGTGACGCTTTGTGAGTATCGAATCATTGATGCGTTTATATTTTTACGCTCTTTGCTGGTGGCTGTGTTCGGTGGTGGATGTGTTTAAAACGTTTAAAACGAGGAACACATGACATCCTTAGACCATATGAGTGTCCGTGGAAATCCCCTAAGAAATCACACAGGCGACGAGATGCTGTGATTTTCGAGAGTTGTACTGTCAACATTTACGACATGCTTGTTAGGGAGCAGTGGATTAATTTTCTTAACCCCACAGTGGGACCCGTAAGCCCACACTCGGATATGTCGTTACTGATATGATCTGTTATACATGAGGGAACTGTTGCTGACATTATGCCACTGTTGTGACTGTATGCCATTTCTCTATCGTAATATTGTGCCACAGTGTCATTGTATTGTGCAATTGTGCAGTGGTATTATTGTGTCACTTTGTCATTGTATTGTGCCATTGTGCAGTGGTATTATTGTACCACTACCTGATTGCATTGTGCCACTTTTCTAGGGCTTTATTGTGCCACTGTGTATTGTATTATTGCCTCATTGTGCCACTGTGTATTGTATTATTGTCTCATTGTGCCATTGTTCTGTGATTTTTGTGTGCTTATGTGCTTTGGTATTATTGCGCCACTGAGCAATTGTGCTGTGGTATTTTTGTGCTATATATTTATTCTGCCATTGTGCAGTGTTATTCTTGTACCACAGTGTATTGTATTATTGTGATGTTATGCCATTGTGTTGTGGTATGACAGGGCCAATGTGATTTTGTATTATTGTGAAATTGTGCTACTGTGCCACTGTCTAATATTTATATTGCGCCATTTTGCTTGTGTACAATCTGTATGAATAGCACTTTTCTAAAAACATATAAGAAAAATAGCAAATGTCAGATACATAATTTTATAGAGCAATCGGCACCTTATGATAGGTTCACATCAAACAGGCCGTCTTCATTTCCCATAACGTTTCCTGGTACCAGTTGCAGGCTTGGCCAAATTTTGGGGCGAAGTTAAATTATATAAATGTGTTTTTATTTTCTTCTCTTTCTTATCTTACAATCCAAGAAATGTAAATTCGAATTCAAGACAGAAGAATGTTGAATGTTGAATTAAGAAACGACATCACAGCACTCGGGACACTCCCATAAGCACTTTATCTCCATATTCAGCAGCAAGCGACGAGTTCCAGTTCCTATGGCACCAGTAAATGTTTGATTATATATCCTTCTCGCCTTTCCCTCGAGTATTGAGCGTTGGCCAGATCCCCTGGTAACTCCTCTCGGCGCCATTCTCCTCAGACCGTAATGATCTAGCTGTGCCTCCGCACTGTTCACTCGCTCCCAAAGGGCCCTCGCTGCATTTAACTTGTCATACATCAGTTCACCACCCAGTGGAGCAGAAGCTAGGGGAGAATCTTGTCAATGCTCCTCTGTGGGTCACGAACATGGTTCACTAATACTTTAACTTTTACTTGCTTTTACTCTTGCAGGTCGAACCACGGCCCAGGTGTCGCTGAGATGGCTTCTCCAGAGGGACGTGGTGTCTTCAGTCATCATCGGAGCTACCAAACTGGCACAGCTTGACGACAACATGGCCGCCAACGGCTGGTCACTGACAGCAGAAGAGGTTAGATTGCTGTCCCTTCATCCTGACTTCTGTTTTTGCTTGACCATCGATATTTTACTGTTGCTTTTTTTTTTTTTAAACTAAATTGTTTGGGTATGTGTCAAGAATGTCCCAGAGTAGTTTACCGGTGTGTGCGTGTGTGTGTGCGCGCGCGCGCGAGTAAGAGAGAGATAGCCAGACAGACAGACTTAGACACACACACACACACCGATACGAAGGAAAAGATGGAAAAAGAGAGAGAGAGAGTCCAAGAGAAACAGACACACACACACACACGCTCACCCATACACACATAGAGCCCTGCGACTCAGATTCAGTAGAAACAGACTTAGACTCGCCAATGCAAGCGATGTATAGATGGAACAAACATCAAAGGCTGTAAATAGCAGCATAGATGTTGCAGACACCAGGGATCACAGCTACACCTTTTTACAGCCTGATGCTGAGAGGCTAGAAAAACAATTAACAAGAATATGGCACTTATAGTGTCCAGTGACACACATTGATACTATCCCGTTACAGACAGTGATACTATCCCGTTACACATAGTGATACTATCCCGTTACACACAGTGATACTATCCCGTTACACACAGTGATACTATCCCGTTACACACAGTGATACTATCCAGTTACACACAGTGATACTATCCCGTTACACACAGTGATACTATCCCGTTACACACAGTGATACTATCCCGTTTCACACAGTGATACTATCCCGTTACACACAGTGATACTATCCCGTTACACACAGTGGTAATACCCCGTTACACACAGTGATACTATCCCGTTACACACAGTGATACTATCCCGTTACACACAGTGATACTATCCCGTTACACACAGTGGTAATACCCCGTTACACACAGTGATACTATCCCGTTACACACAGTGGTAATATCCCGTTACACACAGTGATACTATCGCCTTACACACAGTGATACTATCCAGTTACACACAGTGATACTATCCAGTTACACACAGTGATACTAACCAGTTACATACATTGATACTATAAAGTTACATACATCGATACTATCCAGTTACACACAGTGATACTATCCAGTTACACAAATTGATACTATCCAGTTACACACATTAATACTATCTAGTTACACACAGTGATACTATCCAGTTACACACAGTGATACTATCTAGTTATACGCAGTGATACTATCCAGTCACACACAGTGATACTATTCAGTTACATACAGATACTATTCACAGTGCGTAATTGTTGGTGGTAGTTAAGGGGTGGAAAATTATGTGAACAACTAGACAAACAAAGGATACAACTTTGGCTTCATATAAATAGATATTTTATAAAATACGAACTAAAACACGCAACATTCCACCGCTTCAACATACTAAGAGAGTAATGGATTGCAGAATACAATCCTTAAAAAGAAGTATACTATGCCCTACGACTTCAGCAAAATCAAATGCTCTCAGAATGCTATGATCACAGTATATAAAACACTGTTGGCGCTATTTGTCTCATGTAGCCCTCAAAGCTGAAACACAAATGAGAAGGTCTAAGTCGTGTTAAATATTGTTGAAAATGACGAATACGACTAATCTTCGGAGTTACAGATTTGCAAACATAGGGGAGTGGAAAGTGAGAAGTAACAATGAAATTCATTAGCTTTTTTAAAATCACTACTAACCACTGGCATCATAAGGGCAAAGGCACTGACATTAGTGATGCCTATAAAGAGAATGGCGAAAGGTAGAGAGGCAAAAACTGTGTACTCGATGGAGCTGTTTGGCCGTAGACAATGAAACAGCTAGTGAAAGTTACCTAGTTACGTATGCATAATGGAGCCAAGGTTAAACATTAATACTGTTTTAAACTCGGACAAGAGCTTTTGAGATATATTATGAGAAAATAGTTGTTATCAAAATCGACATCACATTGTTCTGCTATCACCCTCACAATCACACATCTGTCTTCGCGTATACGTTCGCTGATTTCGGCAATGTTTTTATTATTACAAACTCAACATAGATATCCCGACCCAGCTTCATCTTCAATCTTTTTGGCATGCCAGTTTTGAATCCCGAATAGCACCTGATGCATTTGATAAACTTTGAGCCTAATAAACGTATGTCATTAACTTGTCTGAAGAACACTTCTTTGATTTTGAAACAGAATTAAAATTCACCTTTGGCTTCCTGCTGCAGACATAACTACGCAATTGTTACTAACAAAAATAATCTGTTACTTTTAATCTGTTCGCTTGGCCTCTTTACAGTTTTGCCAGATTATAGATTTAATAAATAGACTGACAATTTATTGATCGGCACTCATAGAAAGAAGTAAAAAGATAGAAGGAAAGACTAGACAACATATAAATCGTGCATGGAATCGAGACTGTCACCTCCAGATGGTGTGTGCGCCTTGCTATGGAAACAAGCTTTCTAAGATGGATGAATGGCACCTGATAGGAGGATATGCTTTGCTTCATGGATGGTGTGTTTGTTTTGGCCATAGTAAAAACATTCTCATTATGTAATCATTAGACGATGTCAACTATGATTCGGTATAAAGTTCTGTCAGACCGCTAAAAAAAAAAAAACATTTATGTGGATAGACATCCGTTAATTAACATTAATGTTAAACTTTTGAAAATAAGACGTGCGTGCCACACATCTATTTAAAAACCGAATTCTCCAAATACCTATTTCAGATGAAACAACTCGACGATGTCTCTGCTCCAGAAGCGACCTATCCCTACGAGGGGATACAGAGACAAAACGGCGACCGTGTTAATCCTGCACTTCAAGATGTCTACGTGAGATCTATTGCATAATTTTATACACATGACCTCCAGGCATCACTGAATAAAGACATCCATGAATCAGTAGCTGGTTTAATCCAGAATAATGATTCGTGGAATCCAACATCAGAGACTGATGGAATCAAAGTTTAATGGAATCCAGTATCATAGATTGAAAAAATCCAAAATCAAAGACATTAGAAATCCATTCCTCTGATTTTGAAGAAGGGTTTTTCTTTGTAAATCGAATATTCGGATTTTAGTATGCTTCTTGTTTTTATGTTTTTCATAAATTAAATATAAATATATATACATACAGTCTTTGGCTTAATTCGGGTTACTGTTTATAAATGGAAAATTTTTTGCATGATTGTGTTGTTTTGTTGTTGCAATCAAGTAAAAGGATTCTTTTGAAATAGAGAATTTAAGAGTTCTGTATTCTTTAAGTGTAATAAATTCCGAATGTCTTTAGTGTCCTCTATCTTCCTCTAAAATTTGTAATACAAGGACTATCCCAAAATCATCTTGGACTGACTGGTAACTATAAAGCGTTTGCCATATTAAAATCGTTCATTGCTTGCACCCGGGGATCCAAAATAAAATGCTCACTATTGGAGTCATTATTCTACACGACAACACGGCGGCCTATACTGCTGATCGCACAAAGGCTTTACTTCAGCAGTTTAAATCCGACATTTTCAACCATTTCACTTACACCAGACCAGTATGATTACTGCCAAGAAGGAAAGCAATAGCAAACTACCTTCTTCAAGATGCCAAGAATGGTCATTGTTTCCCAACTTACAAATCTTCAGATAAACAGCGTAAACGGGTGCTTAGAAAGAGAAGCCTCGTCCGGTAAGGAGAGGCATGAGTACCAGGTGACCCAAGATTTTCATCAGGCATCGGTGTGCAAAAACTTCAAATATGTTAAATATAAGGAAATGGAACGTCAAGACTATGTTTGGGTTTAGACAACAGCAAGCAAGAAATTCAAGATAGAATGTGAAAATCCAGGGAATGTGTGAGACAAGATAAAATGTGAACATCCAGGTAATGTGTGAGACAAGAGATTTACAGCGCTAATGACACTTTTGAAAGAATCTTTGAAGTTGAACCAAACAGACGAGGAAAAAACAACACACAGTATAAAAACATGGCAGTATGAAAATCCTTGTCAGTAATCCGCAGATAAAAATTTCTAGACACAGAAGGAGACACATCAAACTGCTACCGTATGCGTTTTGCAGACTGTGTCACATGCTGTTTTGATGCAATGAATTCATTCAAAGTCGGAGTGTTTCTGCTTGAGAGGCGAGGAACCAACAGTCTGCATACAAAAAATACGCTATCTTTAATACGGATGCGAATGCAAAATTCGAGTTATGAAAAGAGAGCAAAGACCTAAAATGGATTAACAATCAGAACTTTCCACAGAGTTTACAGCCGTTAAGAGTAAAGAAGAAGATAAGCTTCTTATCTATACGTTGCTACAGAGAACATGCATGCTCTGAAGGTTAAAATTTTGAGAGCAAACTTCTTCCCTCTAGCAACGTAGGGATGGATTCGTGGACTATCTCCCAGCCCTTTAAAAAAAAAATGGGTATTTTGAGCTGAAATGCTATAAAAGGTCTCGGACCACCATGGACAGATACAACAAGAAATACTAAAGAGTCTGAACATCAAGGTAGATTGGCTAATAAACAGCATCCTGTCTCGGAAGCTGAAACAGTTTCCCTATTACAAGCGCCAGGCGGAATTTAAAAAAAAAAAAGCAGTGGGAATGTCGCCGACAAGGAGGGGTAGGGGATGGCCAAATTGATGATGGGCACAGGATATAAGCGACTCTTTGATTATGCAAGTGCACGATAGTTTTCGAGAGACCGAGTTTCTTTCAGGCACACATTGATAACAGCGACGTTCTGTACCTGCGACATGATGATGATGATGATGATGATGATGATGATGATGATTGTAGAGAACAGAATAAAGAAGTAGACAGTGAGCTCTATGCGAATAATAATGGCATAACGAGACAACGAATGCAAAAAACAGGAACTCTACAAGGACACCATTCTATAGTGTTGTACCCTGTGTCAGTTCCTGGTCTCTCCTATAGGAGATAAAGAATAAATCCGCTGACCCTTTACAAGCATGTCGTAAAGGTGACAAATTAGGGATTGCCTGAAATTAGATTTGTCCGGCGACAGATATAGCAGCATGGCTGTGAACCATAACACAATGTGCCAACAGCAGGAAAAAAAGTAATTTTGTTTTAACTATGTTCAATGAAGATGGGCACAGGATATAAGTGACTCCTCGAGTATGAAAGTACATGAGGCGGGAGAGCTCACGAGTGACCGAGTTTCTTTCAGGCAGACCGTGATAAGAGCGACGTTCTGCAAAGGACCTTCTACATGATGATGATGTTCAATAAAACAAAATCTATGCTCCAACTGCAAAGCCAAACTATGTCACACCTGAAGACGAAATACAACCTGCACCAGGTGGTAACCTACTATGTACTATTCAGAACAATGTGGCCTGATGTTCGCTTGCGCACTATTATATAAATACACAGGCCGCATGCAACAGATTTCGGTTGCACAACGCACGATCAAGGTTGCCTCTTGTACCAGGGCTGACTTTCAAACATATCTGTAAGTTTGCCAACGTGCACAGTTAACGATTGTAAATCGATTCTAGTTAACTGTATTTTAGACATCTTTCGGTAACAGGTAGGACCTAGTCGTAAATTAAGATGTGAATTTTGTGTTCGTTGTTTTTAAAACATATTTTTCTCGTGTGGGTGCCGGGACACCATGTGCGTGTGGGTCAGGGAAAGGGGAACGAATAGAACCACTGCCCTCTCGCTCCCCTCCCCATGTATTTCCTAACAGTCGACTTTTTCTTCATGTTCGCCAGCTGTAAACTCCCGCACAAAGTTCTGGCTGTTCGGTCACTTCTGGACTTTGGTCTTGTTCCAGAACATGAGTTTTTCGTTCACATCCGTTTTACACATCTAGCTTATTTGTATGAGAAACTTTGCTTCCTTGCTTCACAGACAGATGCACTCCCACTTCGAAGGTAGTACCCCTAAGGTGTCGACCTTTACCACATGCCTGTTTGGGGGGGAGGGGGGGTTGGATTTATTATTTTCCTCCCTAAAATCGAGACCTGGAATCAAAACAGGCATTAACAGTCGACTGATCAGGAGTGTTTTCTTCCATGTCGGAGTGCTTCTGCCTGAGAATCGGGGAACCAACAGCCTGCCGATATATGAGCCATATCTGTAAAATGGATGGGCACGCAAAACTCAAGTGACGGAATGAGACTATAAACCAGAAGTAGACGAACAACCAGAACTTTTTGCCAGAGTTTACAGCCGGTGAACGCGAAGAATAAGAACAATAAAACATATCCGTTACATAATTCTTGAATACCTCTTACATATTTCTATTAAATATGTTTGATAAAACGTATTTGCAACTAGATAAGCATGTTTAACACTGAGTTGACCATTGTTAACAATCACATTTCAGCAGTAATTCATCACCGTCAGTCACCCGGTCCTATACAGATCATCGATCTCGTCACATCACGGCTAAAAAGCCAATTTTCCAGCCCCATATGTTTTCACTGTCAACACATTTTCAGTGTCTTAAATCCGCATTCTCAGGGATCTGCCTGAACATCGCCGTTCTCTTTAGGTTACCATGAAGTTTAAAACGGCACCTTTCGAGACAGGATGCTGTTTATGAGCCAATTCTCTCCAATGCTCAGATCATATAGAATGTCCGAGTATATATATATATATATATATATATATATCCTTCTTCTTGTTCTATGGTATTCTATAAATTTTACTGTATCATTTCAGTTTAAAAGCTCCATTTATTTTCAGCAGGGATTGATTAGCAGTCCACGAGTCGCATCCGTAGTCTAGATTAGTAACTAGACGAGAGTATTATAAACTAGACAAGTTCACTATAACCTAGACAAGTGTCCCGCGTAATGTGGACCCCATCAATGACCAAGTGCCGATTGGTCTACAATATAGGTCAAGTCTTATATGCCTAATACGCCTAAACGCGTCGTAAAGGGTCCTTTACCATTTTTTTCTGTTTTACTTACACAAGTATATTGTTAGGTAAACATACGTGATATACATAATTAAAAAAAACAGACAATGTATTGTTTGGCACTTATAGAAAGACAGAAGGACAGAAGGATGCATATTTACATATGTGAAGCACATAGAGAATACATATTTGTTACCAAGTGGTTGGTAGAAGTATATGTTACTAAAAAGAGTAACTAACTGAAGTGTTACTAACTACACATAAATGTTAATCTAGACTGATTTGTCTATTAAATATATGGTATTACCAAAAATTGCCATTACTGCCTGTGTTGATAACTTTTGCTATGTAGGCAGAGGGGTCTTAGAAGCTGAGAATTTAGGGCCGCATGTTCTCTCGCCAAGCACTGTGCATGTTGAGATTTTTTATTTTTTATCCTCTCCTCCTTTACTTCGGATTCGAACCTAGAGACCTAGCGTTGCTAAGCTTTCGGTCAGCCGCTTGCTACCAACCAGACTAATTAAACAGAGGGGTTAGTAGCTAGACTAATGAATTTTTAGGGATTCTAGTAACTAGACTAATTAAACAGAGGTGCTACTAGCTAGACAGATAATTAAAAATAAGACATATTCTTTACTTGTTAGACTAATTGGGTATGACTGTTATTGTTGAAAGGAAACGCAAATACGTACAGAAATATGTCAACACCCATCCCTGATGAGAACAAGGTCGTCTACCAGTTCCTGGGCCGGTCAGGACTGAAAGTTGCCAACATTTGCTTGGGTTGCATGACATTCGGAGAGTCTCCAGTAAGTTGTCTGTCAAAACATTTATGTTCAACTTGCCACAATAGTCCGGTTGGTGACAGCTTCAGTACTCCGCGACCTAGACGGTTTATTTACAATGAAACCCCCAGGTAATGTGTTAGCTATCTAAACAATACGAGGTAAG